TGGTTCTCTATGAAAGGAAGAACCTACTGTCCTTACAGTTCCAGATGTAATGAGGGAACCCTTAAACAACTTAGTGGTATATCCACAATCTCCCCATGTATAATTAAAATATAACAAGTTTTAAGATGCCATATGTTTTTATCTTGTTTTGTTTCTTTGGATTTTGCCTGATATCTCCACGTATAGTAGTAATTCTGATTTTGTCTTTATCAGTGTGGGGGCCACAGGTGTCATCCTGCAGCCATTTGTGCTCTGTAGAGAGCATGTGGGTTGTGTTTGTTTTGATGTACTCATTTGTATACATTGTAATTGTTTTTGTTCCTTTAATGTGTGGATCAGTACTAAGATAAACAGACATCAATATTATACTGAACCAGTCTTATTATTAGGTTGTGCAAACATTTACAGCAGCATGTGCATGTAGTGGAAGGCATAAGGTTGTGCTTGCTCCCACCTTTGTGCATGTTCAGCACAGTGTTTGAAAAATCTAGCTCCAGTTTGCTACATGGTTGGACCTTGTTTTATTTGTTTAAGGCCAGGTGGGCAATATGGGCAACCTCTAAGTAAGTTGTTGAGCATCCCCCCCAAAAAATCCTACTGCTGAAATTTGGTGGCAAACCACCACAACTAGTTAAATGTGTTTTCTATTTGTTCTAAAGTTTTGGAGGAATTTCTGTGGTTTTCTGCCCAAATTCAGTGTGTAATTTGGTACTAAACTGCCTTGGTGTGGTGAAGGGAGTTGTTGTCCATGCTGGATCTTGCAAGGCAAAATTGCCACCCCAGCCCACCAGAGTTTCCCAGCTTTGATGTAAGACAGTGGTTCCCAACCTTGGTCCCCAAATGTTCTTGGAATAAAACTCCCAGAAGCCTTCACCACTAGCTTTGCTTCACAACTAGCTGCGCTGGCCAGGATTTCTGAGAGTTGTAGCCCAAGAACATCTGGAGACCCATAGTTGGGAACCAATGATCTAGGAGAGGAGAACAGCTGCCCTGCTGGATCAGGCCAAGGGTCAGTCTAGTCATTAATTCAGTTTCTAGCATCAGCCAGCCAGATGACTCTCAGTCTTGGAAGGACAAGAAAGCAACACACCTCCTTTGTTGTCTGCCTTAGGCACATGCTAGCAAGAGGTTTACAGCTTTTTTTTGACATGGTTGTGTTTGGCTGTCATAACTAAGAGTTGTTCATAAGCCTATCTTTCTCCATGGAGGAGTGCTGACAGGATTGTAGGAAAAACATAGCCATTGAGGGAAGCATCAACTAGAAGACCTAGATTTACATTAGCACGGAACCATTTGGGAATAGGAAAAGCAGTAATTCCCTTCTCCTCTCCCTATACCCTGGCAGAAAGTGGACTGTGTATATTTACAGGTCAGAGAATCCTGAATGACTTGTTGGGAAATGGGCTAGAGAAAGAGGAGCAGAGGTGGAACTGGTTTTAATGCTTGCTGGCACCCCAAAGAAGGAACACTGCATTTTGTTACAAGCTCGATTTGTTTCAGCTAATGGCAGTGTCCACATCTTCTGGTAGTGGATTCCATGAGCAGTGCATTATATGGAACATAAAGAATTTCTTTTTATCTGTCCTGATCTTGCCAAACAATTTTATTGTGCCTCTGGGTTCTAGTATTATGAGAGGGATGTCTTCCCTCTTCCCATAATCTGCAGTTTGGACATGCATTTCGATTAGCAGCTTGACAGTGTGCACTGTACATTAGTGGCTCATTAAAATACGGCACCCTGTACTTTAAAAGGAAGGAGTAAACTCAGAGACAACTTGCATAATAAACAGAGCCAGGCTGCCTCATATGTCACTCTGTCCCTCCCAAAGGAACAGCCCGTTTGTCAAGCTGTCAGGCGCTCCTAAGAGAATGGCAGGATGCCATGTGACTAAATTTGTGAAATACCACAGAACATTACCAAGGAAGCACTTTTGCAGAGAATCGCCATGTCTTGGTTCTCCATTATATGCCAATTAAATACTGTACATTTTGTCTCCCAACCATTCACATGAGTCACCTCAAAACATTTAAATGACAAACACTGGCCTGAACTGTGTGAAGAATGCTGCTGTTTACTATTAGGGGCATTCCATGTTTTAACTCATAACTGCTGTGCAGGATTTTATCTTAGAATATGAGCTGCCAGGCATAATCTTCTGTTCCTAGTTTTTAGAGATTGCCATCGCTCAGTTCTGAGGTGGTGGTGGCAGAGCCAGTTCAGACCAGCTCCCAGATAGTATGAGAACTATTAAAGATGGTTATAGAAGAAGTTGCCTTAAAGGGAACATAACATTTGACTCCTGTTTGAAATAGCAAAGTAGCGCTGCCCATGCTTGTGTTGTTGCCTTCACTTCAGATCTTCTATGGGGACTATATTTCCACTTTAATTGTTGCCTCTTCTCCTTAAATGAATGAAGGGAATTGTCTGCACATGACTGCTAATAGGGAAATGACTGCTTATGTGAAAATTCCTATGATCGTTCTGTTATAAAGGCTAGAATCAGCTGTATTGCCCTGTTTAGGGCCTTTTCTATTGGCCCAGTGTCTCTTGGATTCTCACACCCCAGGCAATGGCTTATATTTTATTTTGGGTTGTGACAAAGTTCAGGTTGTTGAGTCACTAAAAATTGACTCATTTTTGCTTTTGTTGTTAATTCTCTGTCAGACCCATGCCATTGCATTCCTGCTTTGGGGGAGGGATTTAGCAGAGTGCCACCAATAGCAAGCAACAATCAGTTTAGCCTTAATAAGGAGGATGAGTTGATCTTGACTCAACACCTTGAACTTTGCAACAGAATCCCATGCAACCTCATCAGCTAGCTAAAAGTGGTAGCAAAACTTATATGACTCCTGATGCTTAAACATGCCTGGAAGAGCTGTAAGGAACAGTGTGTGCCCCTTTACAAATCTTCCAGTGACAGCATAGCAGACAGAATTTTGTGTGTGTCATGCAGAGATAGGGCATGCATGGTAAAATACTAAATGCTGGCATGTGAAAACATCACTAGCAACTAGGCTACATAATAGCCTAGTTAATAAAGCCTCTAGCTTTGCAGAATATCACAAAGGTGGCCGTATGGGGCAAACTCATAATCTCACTTTTAGTGCAGTCAAAGTGTATCATGGTAGTTATGTCTCTGACTGTAACTAGCTGAGCATCCCTGATGTCACAAAAGGCAGACATGCCTCTTTATGACAGTAGTGGAGCAACTTGGTGCCTAGAGAAGAGCTGGGCAGTCAATAAAGATGGAATTTGGTGATGGGGAAGATAGACAGGGATCCAGGAAAGAACAGGTCCACAGAAGGCAGTGCCAGAATGTCATTGAAAGCAAGGGGACTGGTAAGAAGGGGGAAAGAATTGGTTTAAAAAACCAGAGAGAAGCAGTGGCTTAGGAGAGGTCTGATAGGGAAAACAAGTTGAGAGGGCTGAAGTTGCTCCAATGAAAAAGTGCAAAGAAGGAGCCCAACATATTCACTGGCAAGTAAGTTCTGTCTTTGTAGCTGGATGCCTCATGTATATGCCTCAAAAATACAGTCTCACATAAACTACGCTGTTATATCAGCCAAAAAAATGTTCCTGGAGAATAACAGAAAGACCATTCCTAATGTTCTTTGAATGAATGAAGAGAAGCCATGGCTCCTGAATCACTTTGCCCGGTTTCTCTCAGCAGTTCCTTCTAACCTACAGCTTAGCAACCTTGAAAACTCATGCTAATAAACATGAGCTATTGGGAAACCATATGGAGGATTGGTACGTAATCATTTTGACATCTGTCTTCAGTAGTATCTGCATTCTAAGCAACATCATAGCAACTTGATTGTTGTTAATTTTTTGCCTCCTGTGCAAATTTGTTTTGCAGACACACATATTTGCAGTTGTTGACCAGCCCATATTTCAGTTTGATGGCTAAAAAAGGACTAAGGGAGAAAACAATAATACCTGTCAGTAGTTGTCTGCAATAGTTACGCCGTTCCTTGTTGAAGCAAAGCAGAAACACAAAAGTGTGGGAGTCTTGTTTGTACATAACCACAATGGGATAGTTAGGTGCTCAGAAGCAAGCAGGAAATCTGGTCCGTATGGTATTGTCCTGTCCTCGGGCCTTGGTTTTGTTTTGCCTCTTCCCAAACAGGCTCGGAGGAAGTTGCCAGACTCAACCTTCTTTCATAGATTATTTTTCTTTTCCCATCTCCCAGCCCCTAGTGTTCTGCTGCCATGCCTGTTGACAGCATTGTCGTGGCAACAGGGCCTTCCGTGTTCCAGGAGCCAACTGTCCCCTCAGTATGTCTGCTCTTTGACAGGTGGTATGGCAAGCCCCACAGACACCTTTCCCACTATTTCAGTGTGTCCGACAGCAGAGCAATGAAATGTATCACAGGATACCCAAGGTTTGATGTATCTACTGTACTTACATGTTAGTTTCTTATGATAGTGCTCTGCCAATAGTTTTCAGCTGTGAATATTTAGTCTACACCTTCTTTGTTTTTAATGCTGTTATCAAAGAGGGCCTTATAAACAACTGATATTTGTGTTTTGTGTGTTATTCTTAAAACCATCTTAGCTCTTTGAAATTATAGGATGATGATAAGGGTGGGCTGGGGGTGAGAGAAAATCCACGTTAGTTATGCATATACTCATTAATGCCATCCTGTTGGCCAGTGTGTGACATAAAATCATAAATATGCATATAATTAAAAGCAACTCAAAAAAAATGAAAGAAAAGGCATTGGGCACACTTGAAAGCTGAGATACCAAGCTCTTCTTCCATGATTCACATTGTGTTTACTCAGATGTTCACTACAAGTATACACCCTGAGCTCAATGAATTCAGTAGGCATAGCCGTGCCTAGAATAGTAGAGTTGGAAGTAACTTGTCAAAGGGTCATCTAGCCAAATGAACTGCTGGTAATGGAATGTTATATGGAATCAGGCTGCAGCTGAAATTGAAAAGCCATTCTAGAAGACTCATATCACTCAAATTTTCCCCTCTCCATTTTTGCAGGAAACTATGCCCCAGACACCAGTATTTACCAGCATGCTTGGTTCCGGATGTAGTGGGCAGGTCCAGCCAGATACAGGAGAGAGAAGTGGAGATCCCGTTTATCAGGATGGGAGCCTTATTTCTGGATCGTTGGAGGCCCTGATTGAGCGCCTAGTACCTACTACTGACTATTATCCAGATGTAAGTAGATGATTGTAGTCTTGCTTGTTTTGCTTGCCCAAGTGTCTGTAGAATATGTCCCTGAAGTCATGAGTAGTTGTCAGAGAAAGCAATGCATAAATACTTGTATGGACAGTTTTTATGTTCATAGATAGCAATAATTACCTACTCTGTAGGGGAATTTTTGTGTTGGTTTATTTTAATGTTGTTTCTTGTATGGAAATACAATAGGCTTATTTGTACTATGGACTTAAGCTGTTGAACAGTTATTCTTTTTCCCAAAGAAAATCTGGGAAATGAGGATGTGGGGCAGAAGCATTTAACAGAGTTTTCAGTGTTTTCTGCTTACTGTGTCTTTGTTTATTTCATAATATTTATGTGCTATCCAGTCAATTCGGATTTATGGTGACCCCTTTACAGGGTTTTCCAGGTAGAGAATACTTGGACATGGGGGCACCACGGGACTGGGCAGCTTGCCCAAGACCCCACAGGCTGGCTCTGCCCACAGGTGGCACAGTGGGGAATTAAACTGTCAGCCTTGAGCTCCACAGCCTGATACTTAAACCACTGAACTATCAAGCCATATTTAGGGAAAGTAAAATTAGTGTATACAGTGGTGCCTCACTTAGCGATGTTAATCCGTTCCGGAAAAAACATCGCTAAGTGATTTAATCGCTAAGCAATATTAAAAAGCCCATAGGAACGTATTAAAACACATTTAATATGTTCCCATGGGCTAAAAACTTACCTTAAAGCGAAATTCCTCCATAGCGGTGGCCACTTTGGGCACCTCTAAAGCGAGGCAAAACAGCGACGGCCATTTTGTTTTTGCAGTGGCCATTTTGGAACCGCTGATCAGCTGTTTAAAAAAGTTCGCTTTGCCATGATCACTTCCTGGCGATCATCGCAAAGCGAATTTTAGCCATAGGGGACATCACTAAGCGATCAGCGACGGCCAAAAGTCCATCACAAAGCGATTTCATCGCTCAACGGAGTGATCGCTAAGTGAGGCACCACTGTACTTGTCTGATTGATGGGGTTACTACTTTTCTATTTGGTGACCAGACCTTTTTTTACAATATGAGGAGTTTAATATTTATATTTGTAGTGGGGAGACTGAGCCTATGTTTAGATCACTGATAAGTCATGAGACTTATTTGACATCCTTTGGACAGTCACAGTCAACTAATTTGATTTTTGAGTTTGCCATGAGGGTGTTACTACCCCAAGTAAATCAGAGGAAAATAAGGATACAGGTGTCAGGATAGGTAAGTAACATGGAAGTGGTTAGATTTAGTTCAAACTCTATTGGATTTATTGAAATGAATGGGCTTGTTAGTTACAAGTAACATAAGCTCTAATTATCTACTCTAGTCTGGATCAGCTCTGCATTTAGGCACATATTTTTGAAAATGTACTTTGCATACATGTGCACAAAGCAAGTAGGTGTTCTGACATTTCTAAACTTCTTCAAGGGAGCCTGCTAACAACTAGAGTTAATCTTCGTAACAGGAGCTGTTTCACACAAAATGAGAGTTTTCCTCTGAGCTGTGCTAGAAGGTATGAGCTTCAGAACTAGGTTGAGGTTCATTAGTGGCTAAAGCATGTTGATTTGCATATTATATTGAAAATATTGAAATAGTATCTGACTCCGTTTAGACTGTGACCAAAAGAAATGTCAGGTAATATAAGCAGGTCTCAGATCTGAGTAAGCCCTTTATTTTACAGTGAAGCTGATTTACCCTTTAAAATCCCCTGTCTACAATCATTTTCCCATCTCTTCCTCCTCCCCACTGCAGCATAGAATCTGACAATCTATGCACTGCAGCCCACGAGGCTGAACGAAGAAGAATGTCAGAAGTACTCAGCTTTTGTGACATACATGAGAAAAAATTCTTAGAATCCTGTCAGACTATGAAACAAATTGTGCTTCGCTGTAATTGTACTGCACTTGGTAGACAGGCAGTTTCCAAGGATTTGTAAACTGTAGAAGGTAATTCATCAATTTGCAGTTCCTAAATCCATTTGCTCTATTATTTCCTCAGCTTTTAAGTGCAAGTGAAACAGCTGGGAAGTTTATTCACTTATTCAATATACTCAGTGACCCTTATTTATAAAAAGTACAGTCTTTCTATTCTGTATGATGGGGGCAAAAAGCAAAGTTTGAGGAACTTACATTGCTAAGTCCCCTTGTTCTCCAAAATGTGTTATAATTTTAAGTTGAGTTAGATTGAATTTCTGTTTGTTTCTGCTCCTAGATTGTCATTTCCTCCTCTTTCTTTTCCCCTGCCATAGTCTGTGTGAACTAGGACGCTAATCAGATGTACGCTGTATTTGTATCTGGCAAATATATTGCTGGGTACACTTGAGATTATTATATCCTGCTGAGGACCATGGGTTTCGGAGTCTTCTTGGCCTTCTGAACTACATAGGGAGATACAGAAAACTGTAAACACCATTTACTTGCAACATCATTTTCCTGTCAGGGAACAATGGACTTGTAGTCTCTGCCTCCCACATAAATACAGAAGAAGAAAAAAGAACTACAAACATTGCAGTTTCTGGCAATTTACATTATTTTTAAAAGTGGTCTCTATATTAGATTACTTTTTGAGTCATTTTATGCTCATTATACCCAAGAATGACTCCTCTCTAAGTAGCTCACACTACTTATACTACTGATGCCATCAGCAGTTAAAACACTGACTTTGCAATCTTTCTGTCTTGGCACTTCACAAATCAGATTAAATTTTGGCCAGGCAGGTACAGTATAATTCTGTCATCGTAGATCTGCAGATCACAGATAGAGTCTAATGAACTAGACACACCCTTAGCATCCCTCAGGCTGGGTTAGCACACAGTTGCGGAGACAACCTACCGCTTGAACCCCTCTCATTCCTAGCCACAACCTTGCAAAGTTGTCTTACCAGGGGCTCCTTGTGGATATAAGTCACAGTAATTTTCCAGGCAGGCATAGAAAGAAAATACACGGGAAGATTCGGATTGGCTTTGAGCGTAACAAGATGGGTTTTTTAGTCAAGGCTGAAGAGTAGCACTAAATCTGAAAGGGAGGTTAGTGAAGAAGGGGGTGGGGGAGAAAGAAGAGAGTTATGTGCCTTCCCACAGAGGCTGTTTGCACACAAGGAAATGTATGTGCTCACGATATGACAGCTTTCTAGAGGTTAAGAATGGAATGTACTTTCATGCAACCGTTCATACCCATTACAGGCAATCAGTTCAGCAAATATTCAAACAAATAAAACATTTCAGACTGAACAGCATGAGCTGAAGGGAAAAACATTTTTTTCCTTCTTCCTTGAAAGATACCATCACATTCTTAGTCTTTAAGTAATAGTTACTATTTTGGTCTCTCTTGCTTATGCTCTCCTCCCTGTTCCCCCTCCTGTGATTGAACATGTCTCTTAGCAACAAGTTTAGGAACTATAAGAATCTACTTCAATCTCTTAATTTTTTCCACTTGAAGCCTCCTTTTGTATCATCTCAAATTGTTCCAGAGATTTATGGGTATTTCCCTACCCCCCTCCCAAATTCTTGTCAGTTTGTGAAAACTAAACGGGGCGTATTTTCAGTCCCAGTGTTAAAGAGTTGCCCTTCCTAGTGTGTTTGCATTGCCCTGATAACTCAAAAAAAGTGTCACAGCAGTCACAAACATTAAGTGTCACAGCAGTCACAAACTGCATGTTGTGCAGCTTCTGCTTGGGCGGACTGTCTTGCACCGAGGGGTGGACCGTGTGAGTGCAGTGCCTACTACTGGATAGGAGGTCAAGGGCGGGATGAGAAAATGTTCTGTCCTGTACTAAAAGTGGATTTGTTAAGAAGAAGAAGGTTTGGAGCAATGCTAGTGGATGTGTTGTATGGGAGATTTTGGGATCTGGGCCCCCCAAAAAAGTAACTTTTCCAACTCCGCTCTTTATACATATACATTTATTGAAAGGGTAAATAATAATAATTACACATGCAAGCACTGAAGGATTTTTGTAGTACCTTGGCACTATATGAGTGGGGTATAAATGGGATGGATGGATGGAAACTAATGATGGTGTTCTGAAGTTGTAGCTAGAGGGGAGGAAATGAATCTATAAAAAACACTAAAATGCAGTGTGTGGTCTTTGCAAAAAAAAACAAAAAACAAAAAAACCCTTCTGCAAATGATTCTGAAAAGGGTGCCTAAATGTGTAAGATGTGCCATAGCTTTCATAACCTCATCCAGTGGGCAAAAGATCTTTGAATATTTTTGTTTTGTCTCCAAAAACAAAAGAAGTGAAGATTTTTATCCCTGCTTTGAAATCACTGTTACTGTGTCAAATTCCCAAGAAGAAAGTGAACATATATGTGTCAAGATAGGTAACTAAGGTTGGAGGAGGTAGGTTTTGTCACAGCTACAATGCAGCCATGGAAATGAAGGGGCTTGTTGGTCATAGGTGTTGTAAGTTCAGCAATTTATTTTTATTTATTTGTTTAAAATATCATACCCCACTTTTCTCCATAAAAGGACCCAAGGCAGTTTACTCTGGTCAAGACTACAGTAGTGCCTTGCAGTACGACGTTAATTCGTTCCAGCAAAATCGCCGTTGAACGAAAACGTTGTAATGCGAAAATAAAAAGCCCATTGAAACGCATTGAAACCCCTTCCAATAGGCTGGAAACTCACCATCCAGCAAAGATTCTCCATAGGGTGGCCATTTTCAGTGGCTGTCTTGCAAGGAATCCATCCCAGAAAACAGCGGGGAGCCATTTTATTTACCTGTGGCCATTTTGAAACCACCGATCGGCTGGAGGAAAATCGTTTTGCGAAGAATCGGTTCCCGAATCAGGGAACCAATCATCGCAAAGCGAAAAAACCCATTCAGACCATCGTTTTGATCGTTGTAATACGGTTTTGTTGTAATGCGGGGCAATTGTAAAGCGAGGCACCACTGTAATTCCAATATTGTTAAAAGTCTGCAAGGCTACATTCTGATATTTCTAGATGCCTGTAATGGAACATGCAAGCAACCAGA